CCGAGCCAGGAAGGCAAGCATGCCATTGGGATTTGCGAGCTGAGTCTCTTCCCCAAGCAAGACTAACAGCGGGTTGGGAGCCATGGCCGCATCCGCACCGGAGCTGCGTCCTCTGCACGCCGAGCAGGACATCAGCGAGAAATGGCTGCAGGCGATGCTGACGCTGAAGTTCGGATGCCCGGTCCGGGTGCATGCTTGGACGTCGAGAACGCCAAGAGGTCGCGAAGGGTTTCTCAGTGAAATCGCCTTCGTCAGCCTCACCTATTCCAAGGACGGTGAAGAAGGAACAGTGGATGCCTCTCTTGTGTTCAAGTTCTTGCCCCAAGACCCTGCTTTGCGACAGTTCTTAGCCAACGGTGGTTTGACAAAGCGAGAAGTCGAATTTTACAATTTCGTGGGCAGCAGTAGCTTTCAGGAGATTTGTAAACAATGTGGTATAGTTCTTCCTGTTCCCGAAACTTACTACGCTGGTTATACCGAGGAGGCCATCACCATCGTCCTCCACGACATGAATACCGACAAGTTCAAAAGTGTTATAGTGAAAGAAGGAAGCACCCTCGAACAGACTAGGGTCGCCCTGAAGGCTGTGGCTCTTGTCCACGCGGCCGGCCTTTTGTTTATCAATCGACACGGCAAAAGCAATAGCCTGAAAACTCTCGCGTCGGAGTTCAGGACCGATTTCTACGACCAGTTCTTCTTGCCCAATCTGGACACGCTCTCCGACATGTACAAGGGATCGCCTTTGTCTTCCACCATGCTCGCTCTGAAGCCACTGACGCAGAAGATGTACAAGGTCTCCGAGAAGCGACCTTTCGTCGAAACGGTGATCCACGGAGACTTGTGGGCAGGCCAGCTGATGTATTCGGATGACGAGTCTCGTGCCGTCATCATAGACTGGCAGTTCTGTCGCGCCTCCAATCCCGTGACCGACATTGTCTCGATGTTTTTCATGAGCACCGATCCCGGCGTCCTCCCCAACTATGAGGAGTTGCTGAAGGATTACTGGGCAGTGTTCACGGACACCCTCAAGGCGGGCGGGGTCAGCACTGAGTTGACTTTCGAGAATTTGCTGGCGAGTGTCGAAGACTGCTGGATCCTGGGCTTCCAGTTTTTGGCTGTCAGCATTCACGATTTTATGGGCGGTGGAAGTATTACCGACGAGAGAATATTTGGCGCGATTGACTTCTTGGAAAAGAGAGGAGTGTTTAAAAAGTTTATAAAAGAATTTAGTGATTAATGGTTTTTCGTGTGTATATACAGAGATTTGTCAGGATAATCTTTTCCAATGATAGATATTTACTTGTTAAAAATACATATGTTTTGATTTTGTATTGCTGTGAAAGGATTTGTACATTTTCATTTCCTCTATATTTGAAACTTGAGATTGACCCATTAGTTGTTTGTACATTTTATTGTCAACAACAAAACTACAACTTTTGGAAGGTTGTAGTAACCTGTAAGATTGTAAAGTATGGTAAACATTGTTGTAGGAATAAGTTTGAAATGTAGAAATCAAGAATTTTTGTATTAAGGTAATTTTTTTTTTCTTTTTCTTTTGTATGTACAATGTTAAAGTAGTATATCCATACCATTAACAAAGACGTTGTTGGACTTCAAGACCTTTAGAACATAAAAATTCAATCTGAAAAGCACATTTTTCATATTCCGCTTTTTTCACTATAAACCGGAGCAAATTAAGCTTTTATTTTCCAATGCGTAGTTTAGCCTCTCTAAGTGCGCTCGTTAGGGACGCCATAACTACCATTCGTAAATCAGTTTTGTCTGTTAAGTCTGGCGTAATGGTTGAAGATTTATGAGGGTATGTGCGGGCGTGCGGGCGTGTTTTTATGCGGGTTGCGAGGAAGGGAGCTGTGTTTTGTGCGGGTGTATTTTTTTTATTTGATTTCTTTTCCATTTTTATTTCTTTCGCTTTTTTTTTCATTTCTGTTTTGTACTGTTGTTGTTGTCTGTCTTTTTAAAACTGCTGCCTGTCTTTAACAAGCGATTGGACGTCAACAAAATGCCACATTTCCTCTCCGAACATACAGATAAACACAAAAATAAACAATTACATAAAAAGAAAACAAATAAAAAGAGAAAATCTATTTTTCATACACCCCCTAGCAACACAGGTTCACACCTACACAAAGCCTTTTTCCTGTGTATTCTTCCTGCCGCTGTGACCCGTCGGAGAGGAGCTAGGTGCTTCAGGCGAAGGGGCTATAAATTTGACCCAAGTACTACCTGCACGAACCGCCGAGAACACCTGAATAGTGCACTAACACTGCACACTTTTCCTGGGGGATGGTGACTAAGCGTTATGCTTGTGATGGATGTAGTTGTAGAATGTGTAGATGAGAGGTTGAGGGGACAAGAATGTGATGTGCGTGTGTGTGTTTTTTGGAAGTGTTATGTGGTGAATGTAGGTGACAGTATGGTGTTTATAATTGTTCGAGTAGAAAGAGTGAAAATGCATTAGTTGTACCATGTGTTCTGTATA